CACCCCTGAGGAATGCTGCTCGTCAAAGGTCTCCATGCAGACATTTAGCCATTGACCGCAACTGTCTGAGCACGATGGAGCCCATAAGCATATGGAAAGAGATGTTAATGAGCTAAGTTGAGAAGTCAAAAAAACCCTAAAACACCCTAGTAGGTGGAAAATTGAACTGCTTGTATCTTTTTGCAAATTTCTGGTAGCTAAACATCCTGTCAACTGCTATGAGAGCACCCATCTGTTCCACTGAAGGCTCACAAGCAGGCCTTTGGAACAGTGTTGGCAGAAGTGCTCAGGCACAGCGTGAAGGTCCAGTCACAATGGTGAGCACATCCAAGTACCTGTTACAGACTGGACAAGGCCAACAGACATTTTCAGTCACTCAAGCATGTGAAAGCAGTTTTTCCTCACAGTGAAACCACATTTGTCAAAGTACTTTGGTGAAAGCTAAAATATGGCAAGACAAATAAAGGAAAGCTAAACACCTGATATGGTTCTCTAAACCCAAACCTCCAGGCAAAGCATTCTCACCATATATGCTCTATGCTGAAAAAGCACCCTGAATTCAGACAAATGAATTGTACCAAGAGATACTTACTCTGGGGAGGAGGCACACTGTTTTGCTTAATATTGGGACTAGAAACATCTGTCTCTTGCAGCATCTGTGGCACTTGGGAAGCGATCTTGTCAGAATCGCTCTCTGATACAATTACAGATGGCTCAGGAGAAACAGCAAGCGAAGGAGCCTCCTCGGGCTATTTGAAAAACAGGGGGGAAAAAAAAATTCAAAAGTTTATTAAGTCATACAACTCTTACAGGGTGTTATTTTGGCAGTATGCTTAGCAGCTGCTGGAAAGATGGCACTGAAAAATTAATCCAATATTAAAAGCTTTTAAAATTTTAAATTAAGGCTGCAAGACTATGACTGCCATCTAGTGCCAAAACTTCCAGCTGCATACGAGCAAAGAAACCACACAGAAATTCTTTCCAAAATACATGACCTACAAAGAAAGGAAAAACTACCTAAAAATCACTAAGATCCAAAAAAGATTCTAGAATACATATTCAGAAGAGATGCAAGATGGTGACACGCGTGCAGCATTCGGTTGCAAGTCACACAGGCAAGCTGTAATCAGTCCAAATACGCGACTCAAACCCCAGAATAAATCTAACTTTTATATTATTTAGAAAGCATTGGCAGTCCTTCCTATAAACCACTCAAAACAGTCTGTGTGCTCACACTAGAATAACAGGTATTTGCGAAACCAGTCCAAAAGTATTTCAGTGGAAAGTTCAGTAGGAATAACTGCCAAGTAAGAGATACTCCTAGTATCTTCCAATTATCACAGAATGGTTTGGGTTGGAAGGGCCCTTGAAGACCATCCAGTTCCAACGTCCCTGCCAATGGGCAGGGACACCTTCCACTAGACCAGGTTGCTCCAAGCCTCATCCAGCCTGGCCTTGAACACTTCCAGGGATGGGGCATCCACAGCTTCTCTGGGCAACCTGTGCCAGTGCCTCACCACCCTCTCCGGGAAAAATTTCTTCCTGATATCTCATCTAAACCTCCCTGCTTTCAATTTAAACCCGTTACCCCTTGTCCTGTCACTGCAGGCCCTTGCCTGGATTTGGTCTACTTTGAAGGTTCCCACCATGAGACAAGATGTAGCTGTGCCTTGCTGTCTAGTACTTACTGGAATCAAAGTACAGTAAACCAGAAGTCAATGCAAAAGACATTTTGACATTCCAATAGGAAAGTCAGAACATGAAATCATATGATCCCACAGCAGGTGACCTACAGACAAAAGGCTTCAAATGAGCATTAGCAGAAAACAATGTCCCAGTCCAGCAATAACCCCCAAACTTTGGGATGTTAGAAGTCACGGCTGTAGTTGTGCCACAACAGCCAGGACCTGGAACTATCACAACAAAACAGTGAAGTCTACCATCCAGCCCTTGATGTGGATGGATACAGATCCTACAGTTACCAGTTTGTGCTGTTTCCATCACTGCAATAAGCACCTCAGATTTAGTCAGAACATGGGAAAGAGCAAAAAGATACACTTTGTTACTTTTCTTTTTAACCATATCATACTGAGCAAGAAGTTAAACAGCTTTAATTAGAAAAAACCCAACACATGAATTTAGAGGGTAGCGGTCTCCAACCTTTAATGAAGGAAGGAGCTTGCTGTGCCCTTACACATCAACTGGAACAAGTTTTTTTTTTTAATAACTCTAATTGCAATGTTTCTTTTAATGCACTGAAAATGTGTGGGGTTTTGTTTGTTTGTTTGTTTGAAAAATCAGCCATGCTGATAAAATGAATTCCCACCCTACAGGATTTCCAATCTTAGCCAATCTCCACCTGCAGGTAAAGCAACTCCATCAAGATTTCAATGGCATAGAGCCGCCTCGGGTTGACTAACAGACAGGCTGCAGCTTGTACAGTATTCCTGCAAATAGAGCTATACAGGTACACTGAGCATTATTGGGAGATTTTTTTCCAAATACCAGACTTCTGTCTGAATTTTGGATGAGGGGAAGTGGATACTGGTATCCTACATTAACTGGGAACTACTCTTCGCTGTGATTTTCTGTGTTAACAAATCAGCTCAGAAAGGAAACCTGAAACAATGAATAAAGCCTATTTGTTAATCTAAATAGTTATATGCATAATTCTACAATTTATTAATGCAGTAGTGACTTATGAAACTGTTACAAAGGAAGGATTTCCAAAGATATCTCAATGTAACACCTCTGCCTACTGATAAAATACCAAAGGTTTCCATGCAGCCCAATGTATCATATGGGAGAAATACCGTCACCAGATAAGAACCCAGAAGTGCTCCACATTCAGCTGTTCCTGGTCCTTATGAGGATATTCTGGATAATAACTTATTTGTACTTTAATATCAGCTTATTTTTCCTCGTATTTGCTTCTTATGTTTTGGAGCATCTGCTCAAAACTACCTTGGACATGTAAGTCGTTCATTTCACACACAAGTCACAGACTGTTGCTAAAGATTTTGGGAACTGCCAAATCTAACAACATCAGAAGGTGTCTTTGCATGTGTGAAATTACAATAAAGCCAAATCTGATGGCAAGGAGACTTGATAAGGCCTGAGAGACCATCTGCATGGCTTTGAGCAACCTGGTCTAGTGGAAGGTGTCCCTGCCCATGGCAGGGGGCTTGGAACTAGATGACCTTTAAGGTCCCCTTCCAGCCCAAACTGTTCTATGATTGTATAAAACTCGGCTGATATTTTGGCAGTGTCTACACCCCATGAGAAGAAAAAAAGAAAAATCTAACTGTAGATCAAAAGCATCATTACATGTAGCTGAAAAGTATTTCTCAAATCAATTCAGATTTCAAGCAGCAACAGCTAGCCTTTTGGGATGTACCAGTACACCTCATTCTAGATGCCAAAAATCACCTTGATGTCAAACAGAAGTTTTCTGTCTACACGTTTTCAACTATGTTCTCCAACATCACGTAGTTGCTTGTAAGCTTCTTAAAACCCACACACTGCAAGGAACAAAGCCACTTGCACACACAGGCAGATGCCTTTTTTCAGATACAGCTGCAGAACACCCCACAAAAAACTAACTGCACTAGTCTGATGGAGTAGATAGCTGTTGCTAACCTCGAATAAAGGTTGAACTGAAATGAAACTAAATAATTACATTAAAAGCTCTACTTTGATGCAGAATATTTACAAGAAGCTGTAAGTACGTCTGAATGTGCTTTTCAAGGCACACATTCTCAGCAAACACTCTGTACTTTTTCTTTGGTGACCTGCAACCTTTCTTAAAAGATTCCATTCTAATATTGTCATCTGAATATTAAGATACTTATTTCTGTAAAACAAATGCTTAGCAATTAAGAAGTAAAAACTCAGTATTCTGACAGATATTCTATGGTACCAAACTGCTGTCTCACTGGTATTGTTCACTCTTTGTGGAACACAAAACCAATACCACTAGAAATATTAAATACTTACTTTCTTCCTACCGTGTGATACTTGTAGGATAACAGCATATAAATAAAAGCTCATTGAACAGATTAAAGAATTTGTATCTTCTAGAGTATTTGTTTCAACTGTGAGCTGAAGCAAACAGTTCGTGAAAAGGTTCGAATACAAAATTTACTTGCTAAGTCATAAAGTCAACTTTAGTCTGCATTTAAGTCAGAATATACATTAGCAACACTTCCTTCTGTCGCAATGAAACAATAAAATATATTATTAATCTTGCGCTCAGACCTATTAGCTCTTAGGTGTCCAGATTTCAAAGTTTTAAACTACTGCTTGAATATTCAAACAAACAAAACCCAAACTCGACTGTCATGAAAGTGCCTACTGATTTAGAAGACACTGCTTTTCTAAACAGACATCCTTTTTAAAACTCGTGATGGACCTATATCTGAAATTCAACCTCTCCATCACCTTTATATTCCTGAACACATAGCCTGAAGCAGTATTCTTACTGTAAGCTTACCTACACAAATGAACGTTTCAATGCAATTTGAGCAGAAATTTTAACATAAACCCACTTTTGCATCCCTACCTTAGCTGGTTCACTAGTACTTATGGTCTTCAGAGAAAAACCTATTTCCTGCTGCGGTTGAACTTTTGAGGTATCCTCCTGAAATTCCTCTGCAGCTTCTCTATCCAGTTCTTCAGTGTCCTAAAAAAGGGGAGGGGTATGAGGGAAAAAAAACACCACACCAAAAAAGAGCCTGTATTTGCAGTGAATTTCTGACTCTTCTTCCCCACACATTGGTTTTGTTGCCATAATCAGCTCCTGTAACTAAGAAAATCTATCTAAAAAGATAAATTGAAGTAGGAGGCTAATATTAGCCTATGCTAACCCTCAAAATTTATGAAACATAATACAAAAATACCCATAGAAGCCAAAAAAGCCTAGAAAGCAGTACTTGTCATGGAATTTAGTAACAAAATTCCCAATCCCTGAATGAACTGCGGCTCACACTCCTGTGAAATTAAACTGAAGGTACTCAAAAAAACTCTGCCAGAAGTATCACAGCGAGACTTGACTGCTCTGAATTCTGTACTTTGTCACAAGTAAAATTTTTAAATACAAGCCCTGCATATTAACCTGTACAGTTTTTTCTCCTATATTAAACTTTAATAGTATTTTTGCAAGCCAGTTTAGTGCACTATGATGCCTGTAAAACCAACCTCTCGGTACAGAAACAAAACATATTTAAAGTATCTGAGACTCTCAACCTTTCCACCATTAGAATGTTTAAGGGGTCAGGTTCTCATTTCACATGAGGAATTAAGAGTAGTTACATTTGTTTATAGTACCAGAAGAATCCTGTGGTGATGAACAGCAAACACAACACAGGTCTCCAGTTTTAAGCTGGAAATACCTTCTTGAAACATTGTTTCTTCACTTATTTCCCCTGGAACCTTGTAAAAACACAGTCACAGTCTAAGTCTGTTGATTCTTGACAGGAAAGAATCCACTAAGAGCTTTCTCCTATTAGGGAAGTACTTGTTCTCATCTATTCAACCTGATTCAATTGCCAAGTGAAGTGCAACCTGCTTTTGCTTTTTTTACAACAAATCTGTTTCAGTGTAATCCTTCAAAAGCTATTTAAGTAACACAGAAAACTCCAAACATCCTCCCTTTGCAAATACTATGTATCTCATTCAAATCTGGTTCCAGATTAGCTCCACCTACTGAGTTTGCTATGCTGGTACTCACTGTTTCACACACATCAAGCTATGACAGAAAACCACTATGTTCTCATAGGATTGTACTTTTAAGACAGCCTAATGGAAGACTTGTTTCTCTTGATCTCCTAGCTAGCTACATCCACCAAGGCAGACTTCTTTCAAAGGACTGGAGAAGGCTTCCCTTGCAGAGGAAAGTTCTTCCTGGAAGCATCCCTACAGTACAGAATTCTGATTTGATGGAAAATGATGTGGGATAAATACTTCCTACATATTTCATGTTTTTCAAAAATACAGCAAAACTACATTGTATTCACAAGTCAAACATGGAATCATTCAAATTAAAGGAAAAGCTAGTAAGAAAGAGATTACTTCTTGGGAAACAATGGTAGACAATCAAATACCACAGGGAAATTAATTTTCCAAAGTATTTATTGTTAAGACATGAATACAGAAAAATAAGGTGATTTTGTGACTTCCTCACAAATTGCCTTTCAGACTATTTGGATTTTGCTCCATTTACCTGTGCAGGAGAGTTAGCTTCTTCACCCTGCTTCTTCTTTTTCTTCTTCTTTTTCTTTGATTTGCCACTTGTAGAACTCTGAAGAATTGGCTCTGCTTTTTCTCTTTCATTATCTGAAGCCTTCATACAAGAATAAAAGGTATTTAGCATTTAAAGTTGTAATGAGACATGCCTTCTATAGACTAAGTAGAAATAAATGGCTACAAGGAATTTAAATGCATATAAACATATAAATGAACACCATCTTAGCTGTTCAGTTCATTGTAGGAAGACCACCTTCTTTACATGCTGTCTGGCAATACAGGTACAGGAATTGGGAATGAAAAAGGCAACAGAGCACCACATGCCGATGGCACAGAAATGCTGGTTTTCATACAGAGAATTAAATATTATTAGGAAGTATTTAGGAAAACAGATCTAAATCCTCTCAGTCTGCAATGATAAGATAATCCTTGTATTATGGTAAGACAGTAAGATCTGACATAGAGCTAAGTGGCTTCTATTTTCTCAATAACAACATTCAGCATTCTCCTTCTCTGTGTACACATTAAACACAATTGTGCTACTCTTATCAGTGTAAAAGAGATGAGAGATTACCTTTATCATCACCCTTAAGTCACTTTAAGAAATGGCAGTGATAAGGGCAAAGTCTTGAAGCTAAGGAGAAAATATCACCTTTTACCTTCTGAACAACAGGTATCTCTTCAGGCTGCGGAACAGAAGCAACTTTTTCTTCATCTACCCAGTTTCCCCACTCTTCTGCTGGTGCATTCCAATCAGAGCTGGGATCAGTTGAAGAAAGTCCATCTACAAAGGTTTAAATGGTTTCCATGAATGTCTCCTTACTTTACAGGTGCTCTGACAGTTTTAAAAAAATAAAGCCTCTGCATAAACCCAATTCTTGATATCAAGATATGAACATTCACTTCCTCTATTTCTGAAAAAATGTAAAGATTTCAGTGACAGGTGGAAGACTTTCGTAAGTAATGAGTAGGAGGGTTACTTCACAGAGCAATAGGATTACAGACTAGTCTCAGCAGCAGCTAGCTAGATACAATTGCTCTGATGTACTTTTCTAGATTAAGTGAAAAGTGACAAATTTAAGAGTTATTCTCTATCTTAAACCTTCCTCCTAGTTTATGAAAAAAATCAACTGTAACACTGTTCAGTCTTACTGTAGTAAGAATCTTTTACAAGTGATACATCTCAAAGTGTAAATCTTACTGAGCCAGGTGTCATCTTGCAACTGACATTTTTTAATAACCTTATTTTTTCTCAGACTAAGTCCCTACTCCATTTCGCTGTCTTTCATCTGTGATGGCACATATTTATGTTGTCACACGGGAATGACAGATTTAAAGGGTCAGTTATATAAAGATCAAAAATACCCGAAGGGAAGACCTAAGCCTTAGACTGTCTGTTTACTAGAAAGTTACAGCAAGCCGATTTCAAAACAGAATGCCTTGTGAAAGATCATTTTTAAAAATTTCACATTTATGTTAATATATCACAAACATTTCTCACCCTCAGTCTATGCCAAACTGAAGGAGAAGAGGCAAACTTGGTCTGCCAACTACAACAGGATTCAGTGTAGACATTTGAAAATTAAGTCAAAAGGACAAGCAGTAACAAACCCAACTAAATTTACTGGCAAACATGAAACAAAATACACCAAAAGATCTTAAGATTACTTACACTTTTCCACCCCTTGCTTTTACATAAAAATATTACCTCAATTACACACTTACTTTGGACACTAAAATTTACCGATTTGAAAAAAAAAAAAAACCAAACCCTACTGCCCAAGGTAACACTATGGTTTATATACTGCCCTCTCACTAGCTGCTTAACGAAGAAAATCCATTCTGCTTTACTAATTAATCAAATCAGTAGTATTTGTACATACAGTTAATTTCCTTGTCCTGAACCCGATAAAGCAGTAAGGTGTATCTGTATCGCACTGTCCTAAACTTCCATTATTCCCCCCCTTCTATTAGTGTACTCTTCAATGAGTTGACATCACCTAATTACTCTGTTAACAGAAGCTATGGCTGTAAGTGTTCTATGCTTAGAAAAGTGAATTAAATTATGCTTTTGATAATATGCAAAACTGATAATTTACAAAAGATTAACTGAAATGTACTTCCCCTACACTTAAATCAGATAAAAGCCAAAAAAGTTTCAAAATGATTTGGTATCAGAGCAGTCATGCCAAAATTGCTGGATTCGAGGGCTGCATCAATCTATTCCACTTTTGCAGTTACTTAATAAGAAGTTGTTCTTAGAGAGAAGGTAACATGCAAGGCAGCTTTTCTGGTCGAACTTCTTGACCAACTCTTCAGGTCAATGACCTAATGAGAGGCACTAAATTTGTTTTCCTTAAACATTCCTAGATCTGACTGAATACATTTATCAGTTACAAGGCAGTTCAAAAAGTGAATTTAAAGCTGAAAGCTGTCTTTGCAAGTACAGTTTCAGTAGTAAATATTTAGGAATGGCTGTAACTTTATCATACTACAGTCCTGTTTAGGGAGAGACTGTGGTATACAAGAATATTTTAAAATTGGCAGAGAGGGGAAAGGGGAGAGTAACCACCAATTTTACTATAATTCCCAAGTACTTTCAGTGACCTCTATCCTGCATATGCTTTCTACACACATAAGGACTTCCTGATGTTTGCTAAATGAGACAGTAATATTGTTAAACCACAACATTAGAAGAGTCTTACGTTTTCAGTAAGATACAAGAACATGTAAAATTAACTCAGTGACTCAAATACAATCTGCTAAATAGAGAGTCTTTTGCAAACTTGCAGTAGATTTTTCTCATCATTTGCAGTAAGACTGTTTAAATTGATTATCAAGATTTTCTGACAAAGCCAGAACAACTTTAAGGTAGTTCTGCATGAAACATCTTTCACTTCTGAGTTTCAATAACAAAGTATTTTCCCTAGAAATTAACCATTTTCTATTATAATTCATCAAAATACTTTCTTCCAAGTGCCAACTAGCTTCACAGAAGCCAAACATTCCAGGTTTTAATTCAGATTCTCACAACTGTCTAATACAAGTAGCTAATATAAATAACTACAATTCAAAGTAACAGTAATTAACAAAATTTTGTTAGTGAATGTTTTAGAGGAACATACTTAACCCAGACCATTCGTCATCAACAGAGGGTTGAGCACGACTTAAATCCCACTGAAAATCAGAAGCTCCAGCCTGAGGAACTGACTCATTGTTCGAGCCTGAAAGAGAATAAATAAAATTGTACTTGTAAGTTAACAAGCTTCCTGAGTTCTCTTGGGTAAAGAAATTCCAATCGAAGTAGGAAAGGAAGACAGAAGACTCAAAGAAAAAAAGGCTGATTTTAAGGACTGCACAGGACAGGAAAACTACAAGGTTTTTGGAAGTGAGATATATTCAGAACACAAGGGAACACTGAAGAAGGAAGACAAAATTAAGTCAGGAGAAGAATATGGAAAAAAAGATGGAAGAAGGGTGAATAACAGCAGTTTAAGGCTTACAGCACTCTCTTCAAACTGAAAAATATAATGAAACCTTATCGGTAGTAAAATTATTACCCTTTTTCAGTAAAGGGTAATACCCTTTATCAAGAACTCTTACAGGGAGAAGTTTAAAAGAAAAAGGTACTAGAAAAAACCTCTTAGCAATTACATTGCAAATACGGCAATTGAATTATTCATTACTAAGAATCCAATTCTCATTTCAAGTAAAAATGTTTCAGGAACATAGAAGCAGCATGACAAACAACAGTTAGGCCAATACCAGTCATGTCAACAAAAAGTGTTAAAACATCTAATATCATAACGAAAAATAAGGCATCAGCAAACAGAAACCATTTTAGAAAAAAAGAATCCCCCAAAAAATCTTAACTATGAGACTCATACTTCATGAGGAGACTTACTTCTGAAATGAAACTTAAATAGGACCACAGCTACCTGGGTGTGTCTGTTTTATAAACACCTCTGCAAAAGACACCTCAGGTGACAGGAACCTTGACAGGTTCTCATTTTTTGCTAGCCAGTCACAAGTAAGAAGTAAATATTTATTTGTATTAAAACCTTGTTGGCTAAGGTGCAAAGATGATGAACATAATTCATTGTCTTCACACCTCTCTCTAAGTTGGAGTGAAGGTATAGCAGGTGAACCTCAGATCAGCTTGTCACCCCACTTTATTAACTACACTTCTAAGTTTTAGCCTGGAGACTGAACTTGAATTCAAGCAGCTCTCTTGGGAAATGTTATTTTATAAAAAGCTCCCTGTACAATTAAAACTTTATTTCTTCTTTAAGACAATGTCTCTCTATGTTTTCATTAAGTGAACTGTTCTTTGGCAAGTCTGATAAATCAGACCTTGGAATTTATAATTTCTTCATTATGCTGGCTCAGATGTTCAGAGAGAACAAAGTGCTCATGTGAGCTGTAGGATGAGGAGCCCGAGTTCCACAGTTAAAAGACTGCAAACTGCAATGCACAAAACCATAGCCTAAGTGCCTAAGTACTTGGCCAGCTACTTCCTAAAAGAAAATAACCATGCCAAGCTCGTTAGATAATGGGAGTAAGCGAGAGAGAGCAGAAAACTCAACATATGATCCCTTTATTGTGTAATAAATCACTGCAGCACTTATGTCAGTAATTTAACACACAAGATCTGTTACTAAGCCAGATTTGCACTCTGTAGCAATCTCACCCTTCAAAACAAGAAAACCCCAGAGCTCAGGTTTCCCACCCATCATACAGAGAAAAGGCTCAGGACTTCAAATCTTGCCTATGGAACATAAGTTGAAAGTAGTGCTTCAGTTCCTTGAACGGAAAAAGAACCAACCATAAAATAACAAACTTCCCAGAAGATCAGGGTAAACAGACTTTCCTAGAAAGCAATCCTCGGATCTCCAACTTGAGACACAGCAATACTGAGCAATTTCTTGTGCTTGTTAGACTCAACATACAAACAGGAAGGTTAAATAAGAAATATCACCTTCTTATTGATTTAGCTTTTGATCATCAATTTAAAAGTTACTTTATTAAATAATTTGAGCATAACAAAAAGCTTTCTAGGCTTTCATAAGATGTACCCACTTGTTTACAGTTACCGGTTCTGTTTTCAAAGAACAGTAAGAAGGATGCAGATTAATAACACGTGGCAAATTCTATTTCCACCTTGTGGGGTAGAAGAGAGCAGAAAAATCTTTGGAAGGGCATACATACCAGAAACTCCAGGAGTTAATCCAAATGAAGAGAAAGAAGTAGAATTCTGTTCAGAGGTATTAATCCTTGCATCCACATTCCAAGCAGCTGTGGGGGAAGGGGAAAAAGAGAAAGAAAAAGAATTTTCTTTTATTTCAGCATTGCTAGCAGTGTGAGGAAGTTAGCTATTTAATTATGAACAGGGTCAGAAGACCAGCAGAAGTTCCAGTCATGTTAACATTTCACACAACTGAGGGTGTTATTTTGCTTATTACATGAGACAATTAGTGCTAATAGAGATGTGAGCATATGAATATTCAGCTTGAAACTATTTTCAAGCTTTCTAAGATATTTTTCCCTCTACAGCCTTTTCTTCTCATAAAGAAAAAACAAACTGTGTTTGAGGCCCATTCTTCTTCCTATTACTGCAATTATCTAAGTTATTGAAAAGCATATTTATTAACTCTGTAAATGAAACTCTAGCTTGGAGCAAATTATATATATGTTAAAGAACAGAACTGAGTTCAGAACAATTTTTCACAGATAGGAGACACTGATTAAAAGTTAAGATATACTTGACTGTTAAGAGTAAGGTCAGAGTAATAAGCAGAAATAATCAGTGGCACCAATGTATCAAAAAGACAGCTGGTTAGAATGTGATTCTAAATAAGAACTACTAGGAGTTATGGTAGTTTTTATTTAGAATTATATTTATTGAGTTGGGGGTGGGGGCACACTCAAAACTGGACAGAGTAATCCTGATGCTGTCCAAGTGGATAATCACTATCCTCAATCTACTGACTCTTGTTAATACAGCCCAGAATACTACCGGTGTCCTCTGCTGCTGAGGGTCATGTCTAGCTTGGTGTTCACAAGGTCCCTGTATCCAGAACTGCTCTCCAGACAGTCAGTCCCCAGCCAGGGGTGCTTCCCACCTGCTGCAGCACTTGGCATTTGTCCTCACTGAACTTCCTCAGGCTCCTGTTGGCTCATTTAACCAACAGGACCAGCTGGTTTAGGTCCTCTTGGATGGCACCCGTGGTCTGCACTATCAACTGGCTCCCCACTCAAGTTTAGTCTAGGCTGGGAATCTGATATGAATGACATCCTATTGCCTCCTCCAGATCATTTATAAATATGATAAAGAGGACAGCTGCAAGTACAGAGCCCTGTGACATCTCCCTTGTTACCAACCTCCAGATAGCATGTGACTCACCAACCATTACGTTTGAGCCTGACCAGTTTTGCAACCATCCTAACTTGGAAACAATAATACGGTGAGAGACAGTGTTGAAAGCATTACTAAAGTCATCCTAAAAGATCTTCACTACTCTCCCCTCACCCCCAGAACTAGTCATTTTACCAGAAGCAAATCAGCCTGGTCAGGCATCACATATTCTTGGTACCAAAGACAACCACCACCAGCGGTCCCAGTCACTAAGAACTACCCTATGAGAATATACAACAGAACACAGTTGACTGGAAGATGAAAAAACGTTCTTTGACTCTACTATACAATAGTAAAGCTTCCAATGGTATAGCAGGTCCAGCCTCAGGCACATTTCAAGATACACAAGTCAAATAGGAGAGGTCTAGACTAAAGCAACGCTGCTGACTACGAAGAAACACTGCTTTCTAGAAGAGACTACGCTCACTTGAACTGAATAGTGGGAAGGACCATGTTACAGTGTCTACTACTACCTTGAAGATTGCTGCCCAGGGAGAAATGAAGGATTCTCTTCTCTGTTACTATTATTACGGACAGTACAAGTGATAAAGGCAAAAAATTCTGCCCAAGAAGACTAAAACCATTTTCTAATGAGAAAAACAGTGTAACAGTAAATGTCACAAGAGCTGAACAATCTTCATGCCTGGAGCCTAAACAAAGATCTGTCAAAACCAAACACAGTTGATTTGATTGTGTTGGATTGGCAGAATCAACTTACGACCTGGGTTTTAAGACTTCATTAAAAAAAGAAGTTACACTTCAAAATTACTTAGTAATCACTTTCAGAATTTTAGGAAAGTGGTATAAAACATTTGATTCCTTCAGAGAAATAATGTTACCTGAGATAAACTCCAAAATTCCAGTTGAACTGTAAACACATAGATGTTAAACCATCAGATCTTAGAGCAAACAGAAACTGCTTAGTTCATATGTCACTAGACCACTTCAAGATTTAATATATAAACAAAGCTATTTCAGAGATTCACTACTAAAAAATACACTGAAGTGAAGCATGTTTTCTTTGGAATAGCTCACCAATAGGAGTGAACAAAGAACGCTCTTTCCAGGGCCTGCCCACCAGGGTTACACCCCAGTCCTTTCCATTTCCATTAGCATCTCCAGAATCCTGGCCCCAAGCTGATGCCTCGGTCTTCCTCTTCCCAGCTGCAGTTGAGGGAACAGACGTCCATTTCTCCTCCCCTGCACCGATCTGTGACATTTTTACAGACTTCTCATTCCAGTTTCCTCCATTTACTGTATGGCTTTCAGTCAATCCTGGAGAAACTTAAATACAAGCATAAGGAAAGTGTTACACTAAAGAAGAATTGGATGAAGGATTAAAATATTGCTTATGTGCACATATACTTAACAATAAACAAAAGTACAAATGAACAGCAGCTTTGCTACACCAGTAGCAAAGATACAGATACAGAAGAGCTGCTGCTCTGTCTCAGCTGATTTTCCAGTTCAGATGATATGCACCATCTGTCTATGAACCTGAAGAGTGAAGAAAAACCAGCACCAAACTGCACTCTCCTCCCGGCGTCCCTTTCTTCATAAGGCTGATAACTTGGTGGACCAGTGCCTCTAGCTTAAAGAAAAACCCAAAACAAAAGCAGGAGCGTGGGGTGCTTCCAACACTGCCAGGTAATTTCTCCACAGTGTATGGCAGTGATGTGTAAAAAGCACAATGCATTAAAAAGAGAATAATCTGTTTCATAACTGCATACAGTAGTTCTCTAGGCAGGAAGTAGAAAAAATGATCAAAGATTAAAAAAATGCTTCCCAAACACTACACAGAATTTGCACAGAGCACAGCTGTCATATAGACTAGAGAGTCCATCAGAGTTAAGAGGAAAAAAATCATGGTAACACTCTCAAAATAATTCATAAGCAATATGCTCTATGGTACATTAAGATAAAAGACCACAAGTCTATCTACAACAGTCTACCCCGCTGAGGAATTACTAGTCGTAGCAAGTTTAATGTATACTTTAGGAGGAGTCAGTAGTACATTGAGACAAACATCATTATAAAACTTTTCTTAAATTATTTTTACTTGTGTCCCTATAAAACAAAGGCTAATGGTCACCTGGTGCACCCAGCCTGACCGCCTATATATCACAAATCTTTCCCAAAGGGCTCTGCATATCAAACCCTCTCTCTCTTTTTATATATGCAATGTAAACAACAGAAAAGATTCTCATTTACAAATGATTAAGAAATATCTGCATATTGCAAGTGCAACACTTAACACAGTCAGCCAAAACCTGATGCACAAGTAAGTCAATGCCACATGCCAACAAGAGCTACAGACCAAATATTTCATTTCTCATATGAATTCATAGCTCAGGCAGCACGAACATGCCACATTCAAGGCGTCCTTACTGGTAAGGAATTGGTTAAGTGAGATATGCCTAGATTTTCTTAAACAAGTATTTCCAACCATCTGTAAGGTTACCATTGCTGTACCTAAAAACACTGCCCTTTCTCTATAAAGCTCCACAGCACTAACATTGTTCATGTCAGTCAGTGTCCTCTAAAAGGTAACAGGACATCTTAGGGGAAGGTAACAGCAAAAACAGCAAAGAGACAGAACCCAAAGTGTAGCTGACAAACACTCTTGCAACCTCGCAAAAAGACAGCGGAAGTCCCAAAGCAGGAGCCCAATTACTCTGTTTATCATACTACTCTCCCATCACAGACATCTGTCTCCTGTATGACGAGGAAGTTTTCACAGAATCACATTAAAGATTGTAAGGGATGTCTGGAAGTCACCCAGCTCCACCTTCTGCTCAAAGCACAGCTACCCTCAAAATTACACCACTTAATTCAAGTTCTGGAAATCACAAAGGCTAATAGTTTGAAGTGTATCTGGACAATCTTACAATGAGCATTTTTTCCTCAAGGCCAGTCAGAATTTCCCTTACTGAAGCTTGATTGTTGCCTTCTCTCCTTCCATAATGCACCTCTGAAGAATACAGCTCCTTCCTTCCACGCTATGGTCCAGGAAGTTTGCATGTGAAGTAACGCCCTCAGAAAGTAGTAGAAAGTGGTTCACTTTCTGGACCTGGATGCCTTTAACAACTCATTTGTTGACTAGCTTAATTACACTGAATACTTTTTGTTAAAAGCAACACCACTAACGTTGGGTATGAATAAGAAACAACCATCTTGATTTCATTAAGCCAAACTAATAATGAAATAATAATAATGAAAATAATGACATAATGAAAGCCTTTTACCTTGTGGAACTGATGATTCCCCCTTTGCAGGTTTAGAGCTGCTAACTTGTGCATTCAGAAGCGCATCACCTGATTAAGAAATATGAGGAAACAGAGCTAGAATTAACTTTTTTCAAACAGCAACACCTGTAAAAATCTTAAAGAGTATACATCACTCATATGATAAAAAAATAAAACCCCAGGGATATGACAAGAAAAACCATCACTGATATGAAAAAAAATTGCCTCAAAATAAAGACATTTTCAGAAAATGTAAGAATATAGTTAAAATGCTCTATTTTTTATTAGTGTTTATTTTGCAGACAGAATGAACTCAAAACTAATTTAGGGCCTACAAAATCTGCGGTAATTTGGTTTAAAGAACTCCAGCTAGTTTCCCCAAGAACAGTAAACAGAAATCTAAAAAAAGAGGCTAGCATTTTCAAGCAAAGGGCAGCCCTACATGTTTCAGAAATTTATAGCTTTTTCTAACTTCTACCTTATCGTGTGAAAACACATAAAATCTTGTGCTGCATAAAGGAATGGGCAAGTGAGATTACAGTAGTTACGACTAGCCACAGAGTATGCAGACAGTTGGAATTACCATTTCTTGAAGTTTTTTGCATGTAATTGAACAGGAAAAAAAGAAAACAGGAAACAATTGATCTAGTTCTCAAGAACAAGAACCACACAGTCAAGATGCAAATAAGTGTTAATAAAAGCACCAGATAAGGCATGACAATTTCAATACATGCACCAGAGAGTTGCTAGGCTCAGTCTTTTTGTCACTTTGCATCTTTGCAAGTTTCATCTAATTAAAGCACCAACTGTATGAGGAGGTTAAAAGTATATCAGAAAGCTAAATGTTTGTGTCTTCAGATTCTTTTAGCTTCTTAAATAGTTTCTCAGTGGCAGCCAAAATATGAATTCCTGTGCCTACACATGGTTTAAACCAACCCATGCAACTTTTCTCTTAAACTGTAGCAGCCACAGAAGCTAAAACTTACATTTCCTTATTGAATCCTTAGTTATAATAGACTACTAAGTCTCAGCCAGGTGTGCCCCACCATTATGAACAGCTTTCATGTGGGTACTACTAGATCAATGTTGGAAAGCGTGTCTACATATTAAGCAGTGAGTGATCTGTAAAGAGAACTTGTCACGTGCATAACCTCCCCACAAAGAAGCATTCAAGAAGTTAAGGAGTTGGTGCTGCCTGCAGCAGCACTGAGGGTGCCCTTGAAGTTTCCAGCAACATAAAAGGGCAGAGTCAGCAGAGCACAGGTGAAGGAATGGGGACATACGGAGCTGTGAAGCTACCGACAGAGCACTGTTGTGGAAACCAGTGTCTCAGCCACTTACCCCAGAACATTCCCTCCTGAGCCTTCCTCCAAGCATGGCCCAAAACCAGGGCGAGCTTTGCACAATAAGTACCTTTACATGGCTTGAAACAATATCTTCAAGAGTTACACCTCCAAACTTACCTACCATACACCCAAACGGAGTCACGACTTAAGCATTCAAGTAAAGCCATCTATCTGGAACATGTGCAAAGCCCCTACTGACCATCATACCTTTATTTTTTCTGATTCCAGCTGGAAGCGATGGTGTAGGCATCAGTTGTTCAATGGACACACTAACCGTATTTTCCACCCCTTGGACATTTGATTCTCCTGAGCCACCGTTGGTCAGCACCTTGTCTCGTTTACGCTGTTGTCGCTTCTCTCTGTTACTGATTTTAGTTTCCCAGGCGCCTAAAACATCCCCCAAATGAAAACATCACTGCGTCAGTCAGAGAGCAAAAAGGAAAGAGTTTGAGCTTGTTTCATATCAAGCTGAAGTCTGAGCACAGGTTCAGTTTAAAAATTACAGGCAGAGCAGACAACTTCAGCATCAGTTTGAAAACATGAGTTTTTCTGAATGTAATGTGATAAAACGTTGTTTCTCAGAACAAAACATGAACAACATGAGGGCCCTACAATTCACAAATTTTCTCACTTTTTGTAACTTACAATCAGCTGAAGTTAAATATTGTTGTTTCAAAGGCCATATTTTCAGAGATAATACGTGACTAGAGTTATGACAAAATGAGTTTCTTGTGTTTCGTTATGAGGCACAAACAAGTAAACCTGACACAGGATTTAAGCCAAAATACGTCTAATTGCATTTTTTCTGTGTGTTTGCGTTCAGTACCTTCATCAACTTCCTTTCCATCTAGACGTGATGTATCCTGAACCATTTTAGCATCTCCCTTGGATTTCTTTTTTTTCTTTGACTAAAATAAAAATAAAACATTATCTTAATAATCACTCAGTGATTACCTGTCATAGGAATTTAGCATTCTCCCCCCGGAAACACAGAAGTAAACTTAAAACAGATTTTCCTGAAAAAAAAGGCTGTATGGACAGTCCCTTGAAAGGAATACTAAACAATACTAATTCCTAAACATTCATTAAGACGATGGAAACAGCATGAAAGACTTATGCAGTACATAAATGGCAGATGAAGGGACAATTCCTTATGCTACAGAGCACAAAGCCTGGTGGAAGAAGCTATGCTGATGGAATGAGTCACAGAGGAATACGAACTGTCTGGGAGGAAGATCCCATTCTGGCAAAATCTGTTTTGTGCAGAAGCAAGTATGAAGTTACACATGGAGAAATAAAGAATGCCAGTGACTCCTTTTAAAAAAAGTGGGTAAGAATTCCAGCTTGGCAAACGACTTCAAAACAGGAACTGTGATTAGAATCCATACAATAGATAGACAGTTGGTTTTCCCCCCCTCCCCTAAGGTTTCACTAGTTATGGCTTCTTAGCTATACAAGAGATAAAGAGGAACAGATATGACTACTTCTGCAAACAGTTTTGGTGCATGAGATAGCAATATAAAGTGTTATAAAGATAATATTGAGGAAAAAAAAGATTAAGAATAACCCAAGATACAGGGAGAGAGTATATTGCAGAAAGCCTTGGAGCTGAATCTTTCCATAAGGTAAAGTGGTGGCAAATTGACTTGACTACCTTCTTAAAAAGAAAATACAGTACTGAAAAGCTTTTCAATCTAGTCAAGAAAAGTGTGAGAACTACCAGATAAACCTTAATGGGAAAACAGAGATAATATTTTTAAAGAAAGATGGTTATCCACTCAAATGTTGTAAGGGGAACCTTTCACTGATGCACTGTCTCTGAAATATTTGAATAAGGGTATTCTAAGAATGCTGAATGTTTTCCTGGAATACATGCTTTTGCCGGATTAAGACTAGTAATTGCTAGCTTCATACCCGAGCTCAAACTATATGATTTTCTAGTCTCAGTTATCCAAAAAGAGTATAACAATCTCTCCAGAAATTCAGAACTGGTAACAGCAAAATTGCCAGCACAGCGGCAGCAGACATCCTATGGATCCACTATGACATATAGTTCACATGCCTTTGAGTTAGCATGCCTAAAAGGCATCCTGGCGCTTCAACACAGGTACTGAAAGCAGTAGACCTTGTTAGTGCAGGACCAGAGATAATAAAAATCTCACTGCTTATATGCAATGCTGTGCCAACGCACACGTAATGCTTAGGGAGCTGACTTGAACAGTTAACTCATGATTTACTGCACTAGGGGACCCACAATACAGTTGCACCCAAACTGAATTATCTCACTTACTTGCAGAGTAAACCACTTTTACCCACACACCAACTATGTAACTTGTGGAAAGTCTCAAAGAGAAGGGCTGGTTAAAAAAAAAAAAACACCCCAAAAATGTGAATTGTTTCTAAGAACACGAACAAGGCAAATTGTTTGCCTGAGCACTTTCAAAAAAAAAAAAGAATGCAAAAGGAAAGTGAAATCCAGCATGAAAACCAGTTATAAACTGCTTTTTGGAGCTCAAGCAGAGAGAAGATTAGTAGGTTTATACCTACATCTCCCATTTTCAGATACATTGTGAATGAAAGTCTTAGAATCTCCTACCCACAAAGCCGTAACTACCCACCTGTCCTCTGGCACTGAGAACACCTGAAATGACTTCGGAAGTCTCCCAGGCAGAAGTTTAAGATGAATTCCCCTCTAAATAACTCCAGTTAAGATCTTAAGTGACTTGCTCCTACAGAGGTATCAACCTCAGGTTTTAAACTTCTCATGAAAACATCAAAGTTTAATGGTTTTTAAACAAGTTTGTTCCTAATAAACACTGTTTATAAAAAGATCAAGAATTCAAATTTTGACACTATGTTTACATTCCTAACATGAGTTACTAGAACATGATCTGAGAAACCAGAACCATAATTAGTTATCCCATTTACTCACCACCTGCCAAACTTAGTGCTGTAACAGTCGCTATGTCAGTAACAAACTGAAACAGTAAGAGATGTTAAAGGCTACTGAGCAAACTAGCCAGTCATACTGCAGAAAGCTATAGGATTCAAAGCATCACCTTCTGCAACAAAGAAAGCTGCTAGTGTTGGCTCTGCCACCAGCCAAAGAGCACATGAGGAACTCGGCTGGCCTGCCAAGTATTTTAAGTCTTTAAGATGCACTGTCCCCCATACAAGAGCAATAGAAAAATAACCTCTTCCTCATTCCCAATGTTCTGTTTCTAGTATTCAAGACAAGGCAGTGGTGTGCTTGCAAACAGAACAGGCAATGAAGTTCTAACATCCTGCAGTCTCAACCACAGAGTCACTTCTTAGACACAGTCCCTTACACTAAAAACAAGATATAACCCTGTACTATGCAAGTCACTAAAAATGGAAAAAAGGGAAGAAGCTATTCAACGTGTCAAGAGAATCATAAACCGTAAGAATAGCCACAATCCAGACGTTACTCAAAGCTTCCCCTCCCCCAAAGCAGAACAAGAGGATACAAGTGATAGAAAAATGTAACTAGCAGGATCAGCATCCACATCTATCTAGTGGAACTTACTTCCTGGAGCTGCAGCTTCAAGGCAACATTTTAAAACTCAGATCACTATGTTTGCAATTTTAAGTTAAAGCTCAAGTTACCATTTAAACACCTACCAAGAGCCTCACAGCCAACTAACAGTATACAGTCTTTTGGCCAACATACTAACTGCAAAAGATGCTACTATAGGATAGCCAAGAAAAATAAAGCTTGAATGAGCTAAACAAATTACAATAACCAACTACTGGTTTCTGACTGCTTATGTATAATAATTTATTTTTCCAAAACTCTTCAGTAGTTAGAACAAATTAATTTTGTTGAATGAAATAAATCAGCAATCCATGGCAGTAGGAAAATTTCACACGCAATGTTAGCAAGAACCACTCCAAAAATCACTGTCAAAGGCCTAACATAAATATAACCATGTAGCCCTCAAATGATAACTTTTGTGGTAAAGCTAGAGGATAATAGTCCTCAGTGCAAAACAATAACACTGCCATTAGTATGGTTACCTTTTAGGCAAAGCTCCAGACCAAGCTTTAAAATGATGTTTTTAACATAGCTATTCAATTTGCATAACAAAAAGCTCATACCAGACTTCAAAGCCTGTATTTGTCATCAGAAATTAAGAACTCTAATCACTAATGGGTACATCTGACAAAAGAAATAAGCAGGCACATGGTCTTAATCCTTTGAATAGTAGTCCCCCAATTGTTACACCATTTACAAGCTACCTAACAATACTATCATCATGTTGCACCTCCTTAGAAGCCATGGAAGATGAAACACAAACTTAATTTCTGTAGGCTTAACATCTTCACATGATGAACAGAGATACTGGTGGTTAGCGGGGGCAGGGAGCGGGGTTTGCCTGATGCAAACATTCCATGATAAGGCATAATCTGAGAAGAAAATAGTACTTTAGGTCTTCCCAACACCAAATTAGAGTCATACTCTTCATAGTAAGAAATATGCCTCTTCACTCATGTAAGTAACAGGATTTCAAATCAAAGCAGAGTTCTTAGATACTGAAATAGCACGCACTAAAATTTGACATTGTCATTTCATATCCATAACTGACCTTTTCATTCTTCTTTTCTGTGTCTACGGGCTGCTTCATATTGTCTTTACGGACAGTTTGTATTACTTCATCCTCAGATACATCAAGGAAAGACCGTCCATTAGGCTGTGTAAATAACAAAAAAAAATATTGGAGAAAGCAGAGGAAACAAAGCTCAAATTACACCATTACTGAAATGCAACTATTTGTTGACTGAAAAATGCTCACAAGATTAAGTGAAACAGACAAAGTATGGATTGGTGCTCAAAATATCTACTGCAATTCTATATTTACCAGAGAAATGAGAAATGAAAGAAAACAGGTCTCCTCATGCCATCTCAATCCTATTCAACAAAGAACTGCTTATCAAAAGGCAAATTTCAGAAAGTTACCAGCTTTCAGAACAGGTACAGTTCTCTGAACATACAGATGAATGTACCATAAATTATCTAAATTAAATGAATGCATTTACCACTTCGTAGCAGTTCAGCAGTGGGCTGAATTTTTAAAATTATTTCTACGTTGACCAAATTTCTGCCATTTCTACTTATGCATGTGCCTCACAGCTCATTTCCTTCACAAGTTACACTTCATGGTAGAACAGAAATTAGAAGTCAAACATGAAGCATGACTAAGCATGACTTCCCATTGTTCTTTTCACAGACTTGATTGTAGTCGTTACATTAGACTACCATTTTCCCCTCACTAAATAAAGGAAAGAAAATGAGCATTTATTATTTAACATACAAAGTTAAAACTCTGGACAGCTATTAACTTAATCTTTACCATCACCCTTGACAGCAAAGGCCTACACCTCTGCCTATATATTTCCTATGCAAAAAATGTAATAATTTAAGTCACACTGTTAACAAAAAGATACAACTGAAGTTTCTATGCTTAACTGCAGAAAAGATGAAAATAAGCAAAGTGTTATACACAACTTTTAGTCACTAAGTGAAAAACTATTGTCAAGAGTAGTACTCGAGTACTGAGTCCACACAAGTTTCATATTGATTCACATTCAATAATGATTCAGATAAATTGAAGACTGAAAATTAAATAAGATATTAAGCATAAACAACTACTTCATAGTTACTTTAATTCCTGCAATATCTTTTAAAATAAAGTTCAAACTATATTATCTTTAGCTAGTTTTGTTATTAAAAAAACCCAAAAGCTATTTTAAGTCTGCAACACAAACCTGATTGCCTTAAAGTAAAATGATGGTCATATTACAACTTAGTATGACCTATTCCTTCAAATATCAGATCTGAGCCTCAATTTAACTTATACAGGTATTAAGTCTTACCATGTTATATTATGCTTACAAATCACCCTTGGCATGATTTCGTCAGTGCATTGCTTACTGTAGTAAGCCAGCATGCCAACTTCTTATTCTGTAACTATTAATAGAAATTGCAAGATCAGGTCACCTAACCCCTCTTCTGCAACAACCAGCTTTCAACTAGACTTTTCATAACTAAGATGCAGTACATTTCCTTTAGCATTCTGAAAATGAAGTATATTTTACAGATCTGCCTCTCAAAACTCCCTCTAATAGTTCCTCATAATAATGCTCAGAGTACTTGATTCCACAGGGATACCAAAGACCTGATATTCAATCTTGAAAATAACCTGTTGCCCAAAATCTATTCCTGAACCCTGCTATTTCCTCTAGATTCCGCATAGTCATTTTATTAATGATGTGATGTCTTTCAATCTGTGTTGGTACCCCTGACGTTTAAGGTCTTAAGCTGAAAAAAGAATCGCTGTTTTAAAGTTATTTAGCAGTAGAGTTAAATAACAGATTTGCTGCATCTAGTACTGGAGTAGTGTCAAAAACAGTTACAGCCAACTAACTTTTAATCCTGTACCTTACTTTGCTTCTTTGCTATTATATACACCTTAAATTGAAAACTACTTTCTTAACCCCTCTAAAAATTCAATAGATAGAAGTTTTGGTCTTTAATTTAAAAACAAAACACAACACCAAACCATCTGTTTCTCCGCAGTAATAAACTAATTCATAACCATTAAGAACCCTCTGGAAAAATTAATCCACATGACTGTTTACATGATCAGATGATCAAACAGCATTTTAAACAACCACCATCAGAAATATGTTTAAAAACTTGCACTTTGATGCATTTATCCCTGAATGTATCCCTGAACTGTAATAGCCTCCTTTTCAGTAGAAGTTTTCCACATGTATTTTCTGCCCACAGATGAATCATAGAATTTTAACCAAAATTCATGTGACCATTTTTGGATATAGCAAAGATAGTAACAGAAGCGGGAAAGAAAAAAGCTTTTCTATAGTATTCAGAAATGTTTCTTTTAAAAGACAACTACAGCCAAAAAAGATTAAGTTTAAAACTTTATGGTAATATAGTAAACAATCACTGACAATAGAAACTGCAGAATTTGAATTAATGAATTTGCCCCCTTTTTTTCCCCTCATCCTAAAAGCTACAGGGAAGATGCAACCAGGCAGAAATAATGCTGTCAGTAACCCTACTGATTTCTGAACACATTTCTTGCCTGCTGACTTTAAAAGCCCAGTATTTAAATAAACCATTTTTCACACACATTCACATTTGTGGGTGTTAAGATAACCAAAAGGAGAATAAAGGTTTTGCTGAGGCTGTTTAAAATGAAAAATATTGTTCTTTAAATACGGTACAGCACAATGGATAACTCAGTTCCGTACTTCAAATGGCAGTAATGAAATTGCTATCGTTTTGAGTCTTGGCCATATTAGTCAAAGACCTTAGCTACACGTTATAAAGATATGCTGCCTTCGAGTATCTTTGGCCAATGAAAGAATCTGTTTAACAATATTATTTTCTGTAAGTTTCTCTTCAGAAAGAAAGAAAGAAATTCTCTCTTTAAGCAGTGGAGAGCCCTATGCCCCTACTTCTCTGCAACTGTACAACTAACATATACACCAAAACAACATGTGAGTATCAGCTGAAAGTATGAACAAGTCTTCATGCAGTCTACTTCTAACTGCAAGAAGCACTAGCCAGTCATAGCCTGAAAAGTTCTTTCAAGCAGACCAAGTAGGAAACTTTCTCAAACGAATGCAAATGTTTTTTTAGTAAAACGTGTAGCGGTTACTGTCCAGGTGTACTTCGAACAACAGGAAGTAGGTAGTCAATTTGGTATTTTCTGCATCTACAAATAGATGGATGAATTGCTTTCTAAAGCTGTAGCAGAGTACAGCATGTGGTTACTCTCAAGCTCCTATGGTGTTTTGCAGATTGTACAGAAACCATGTAAGAACAGTTTCACCTACTTTTTAACCCTTCAGCAGAAGAAGAAGAGCAGCACAGCAATTATTCAGATGGGAAAGGAATAAAAATTAACGATCAAGAGATTTTTGGAAAGAAAAAAGTTCTTAACAGAGGCCAAAGAACTCTGTGACAGGAGACAAAGAGCTAGGCCCCTGCCAGGAGCTAAGAAAAAGGAAAAAAAAGGAGAGAAAGAGGCTTCAGGTTTACTGCACAGAATCTAAGGTAAGGATGCCATGCTTGCTCCAAGGAGCTGGAGAAGGACAGAACTGGCTCTGTAAACTATACTGTTAGTGAACGCGATACTGTTGCAGCTTCATTTTTTTCCTCACTCTGCCCATAGCAAGTAAGAAACCACAATCTCATAGCTACTACTGTATTGAGTCAACACAGTGCTGCTATTCCACTAAACTGACTTTACTGAAATACCTGGTAAGCTGTACCCTACCTACCCAGGAACACAGAGAAGCCACGTGCAAGAAACAAAGCAACACCCTACCTCAGAAAGGGTACAGTGAAGAACATCTCTGATCCTGACTGATGAGTTAAGCATCACCTGCCATACGATGAGCTCAGTAATTCTGTATTAAAGTAACGCTACGGCTTTTAATTAGACATCTGTGGTGTGCTCTTTAACGCTACAGACCAGTTGCTCTAAGCTTTCTGAAATGCCCGCAATGGAAATCTAGACCCTGGCACAGCAAACCCTGTAGTAAATCTACTGATAATAGGCTTTACCTTACTCTCTTCCTTTCAGAGACCTCAGTATGAGCACCACAGCATACAAAAAACAAGGCAAAAATGACTAGGCAGCAGTCATTAAGAATTCTTGTTGCAGCTTTACATTTCAAGTGTTATTTTTAGAATTTTTTAAGCAAAACTCAGAAAATATTGGGACATGCTGACACAGGTCTCTATGAACGTATCTTGGGAAATGAGCATGGGGCAGGCCTATTAAACTTTGTCACTGGTATAAACTTATTTGCACTACAGTTAATGATTCTGTTAGTGCATTTTCTTTTTGAAAAAGGTGGTTGGCTTGATTTTTTTTTCACCTCTGCATGGAAATAATGAATACAAAATGCTGTAAAAATAACTTTAGAAATGTTAACAATACAGAATGACAGCTGAAAAACTATTTTACTCTTTTGATTATGAAAATATTTGTTCTTACATTACCCTAACTTTCATTATTGTGCACCTGAGTAAACCAAGCTTGAAACAGTACAAGTATTTATATTCATCAAAAATGTCAGTTAAGTTTTATATACAATTAATATAAAGTTTACTTTTATGAAGCCCCGCACTACAGAGCATTGTCAAGTTAACAGTGTATCTACCTCCTTCACTCTATCTTCTGTTGTGGCATTTTTTTTTTAATGTCTTCAGTGATGACTTGGCAAGAGTTTATGCTTTGTTTTTATACTGGACTTTAAAGAAAAGAAAACAAGCAAAATCTAAATTATTTCTAGGATTAGACTTCATTTTTAAGAAGGCATAGCATATCTACTAAATCTTGAAGGATACAAAAGATATTGCATCTTTAACATGCCTTCTCCAAAATGGAGACCTAGCTATACTGCAAAGATTCTGAATCACAGTGCTTCCTCTTCTTGGTGCTCAGCATTCTGTCTCTTGTAACTTCCAGAATCAACTTCAGTAGTTCACTGCTCAAAGACAGGCTGGTGACATATGCAGACTTCTTCTGTTATATGATATTCTAGCCTTAACTTCTCATAATTAAAAAACTACTCAAATTTATCAAGTCTTAATATTGCCACAGATCCAAATGAAGGTATAAACCCATTTTTTTCTCCTTTTTCTGGTCATTAG